AGAGAGGGTCGGCTTCCCACCCCCGGCCCCCCCCCCCCCCCCTTTCAAATAATCCTGGATCCGCCCCTGTAATAGCTTATTTATTTATCATAACTTTAAGCACCAGGCTCAATGCCATGCCTATTCACCGTTTATTTAATGTTGATGTCAAGCACTGTACAAGTGATATATATATTTTTTTCTTTTTGTGTACGTAGCGTGCGTTTCTATTAATTGAATGGTGTTTTATAACACTATTTCGTCGCACATAAGTCTTTATTATATTATCTTACAGTCTTTGCCACCGCCTGCATCACCCATCACTGCCCTTCCCTCTGTGACCCAGAGGTTTCGACTCCATCAAGGCCCACCGAAGTTCCTTCGACCCAGGCGGAGACGGTGTCTGGGGGACCAGCTGCCTCTGGTCAAAATATTACAATTCCACAGTCCAAAGCATGTAGTCGGAACGAAATGTTGACCATGACTCACGTGTTAATTTTCTCGGCAGGGTTTTTCGGGGGACTTGTGCTTGCACTTGCAGCTGTAGCCGTGATAATCTTTTTGCGGAGAAAAAAAGCAAACGGTGAGTAAAGAGGTATTCTTTTCGCTACGATATAAAATGCACTGTGTGGAACTTCTTTTTTTTTAAATGTTTAGTTTTTTTTTTACTCCCTTAATTCTCTCTCTCTGCAAATTTCCTATTTTAATACCACCCTTCAACAAGGACTTCACTTCTACCCTGTCTTCCTTAGTGTGTGGTCCCAGGTGTCACAGACGCGGCCATCAGCGGTGTCGTCCTCAGATCTTAGCAGTGACAACTGACCATCAAGTCCCCCAGTCTCACGAGATGACCACACCAATGATTCCAGTCAAAGAGCAGACCACGCCCATGATGCCAGTCACAGAAAAGAATGAGTGACAGTGATGAATCCAGATTATAAAAGGGGAGGGCCCGGCTGTGATAGGGGAGCAACATTCCATAAACCATTTTGTCTTGTCATAGCTTCGTCAGCTTGAAAATCATGATTTGATCCATATTAGCTTATGTTGTTAGTGTCTCCATTTTTCAAGCAAAGCTATCCTAGTGTAAAATCTTTGTGAAATGTTTTTATTTCATGTTGTCTGTGTTGCGGTGGTATTTAATCGCAGTGTACATTTCTATTCGCATGTTTTTGTTGAGCTGATGGGTCATCCATTTTCATCATTTTCACAAGTCTATGTAGACTTTTTCAGATTCCTCTCCCACAGACAGTACAATGAGGGTAAAAAGCTAAGTGATACACAGCAATTCAGATCATTAATTTTATTATTTCAAATGTGGGCAGTAACCCCCCCCCCCCCCCCAGCTTGCGGTTTGTAGAATTGGGAAAATGACAAAAAATGGATGACCTCTTTAACATAACATATAAAATTTCATTTACATGTAAAATACCCCTATCTTTAAATTATCTGAATTGCTAGATGCACGTAACTCAAACATATCAAATATTTATGCAGGGTATGTTTGTCTCTGTATGCGCTAAAAATTTGTCCGTTAGGGTAAAGGGTAAAATTAAAGCGTGTATAGGGCCCACTGTGATACGCCAGCCAATGTTATATGCTTTTGCTTTGTATGGATTTAAATAATGTAATAACAAATATAATCATCCTCTGATAATGATCATTTATTGATGAATACCAAGAAAGCAAGTGTCTTAATTGTTGTTTTTATTTGTAGCTGTATTCCGAAAAGAGCCTTTAGGCTGTCACACAACAATAATAACTAATTACTTAAAAAATAACTGTTTAGATAACCATTTAAAATATTTTGCAAATGGTTTTGTACTTACTGTTTATAGATCTGATTCGAGTCTTAATTAGTTCTCATCCAGAAACATCCACCATATCGTCCCATAGCAGGTTAGTTTCTTACTTTGTACACTACAGGGTCGAATGAGCATGTCGAATATAAGCCATTTCTGTTTTAAATGCACTTACAAATTAGTTGATATTATAATCCTTCTTATCTTCAAATAAAATTGAACAAAACGTTGTAGGTCTATATCAATTTATTTGTCGCGGGAAGTAGCCTAAGTCATAAGTTGATTCTTTAATTGCTAGGTTAAAATAGCAGAGATGGATGCCAAGGTTTATTGATTAAAATTTGCGAATCTCCTGTTCAAATAACTTCTGTTGCTTTTTTAAGCACCAAAGTGGATAACATACAGGGAAGCTCATAACAGCGAGAGATTTTCATAAGGGCTCATGTAGGGCCTACGTCAGATCGAACGATATTCAAATTTAATCAATTTTTTTTTTGAATATCCTACATGGAATTAGCGATTATAAAATTGGACATTTAAAGCGATTAAAATTAATTTTAAAAGTTTATATCTAATAAGTATCCACTTGTGCAAGATAAGTCCACTGTAATTGATTGTAAAGCAATGAACACGAAACATTTACGTTATCCCGCGGGGGGGAGGGGGGGTAATTAAAAGTATCAGAAGTAACGCTGCGATAAGTTGACTAACATTAATTTAAAAAAAAAGGATGAAGAATGTCTTATACTATTCACGACAGCATTCCACCGATATTTCAACGGGAGTGAAAAAGACGTCGACTTCTTAACGTGCCCGGACACGCTGTACTTTCACGTGTACTTTCTTATCACGCCAGCGTTAGAATAACGACCATGTCACCGTGTAGTGGCTGTCGTCCAGTTTTCCAATACTGTGAGCCGGGTGTTTTACGATGTGTGGACTGCAGTTTACCTTGTGGTGCCACTGACAACCAGCTGTTGCAGTTTGACTGTATGCAACACTGTAAAGGTAGGTGACAATGTGTAGAAAACTCTGGTGTACCGCTCTGATAGCTTCCGCTGGGTCAAACTGCTCACGCGCCATGGTTATTTTTGCAATCTGACGCAGTGATTTCGTCATCACCTCTGTATCATTGTAAAGATGTATTTATTGAAGTAATTTTTTAATTGGGGTGTGCTTATTAGTTGGGCGAAATATAAAGAGAGAAAGGTGACTGACAGTAGGATGTAAACAAAAGCACAGGGTCACGCTCGGGGTCGTGTATATCCACGGAGTTGTTGCCACACTGTGTATATTGATATGGGCGCAGTGCGAGCATGAGCAGTGATAGGGAGGTGACAAATCACGATTACCCCGTAGAAGAGTTATCGAACCAATCTGACTACTGTATCATGCCGTAGATGACACCGGAAAAAAAAACCTCTCAGTGTAGGATTTTATATGATCGTATACTGTATATGCCCCACTTTCTGGTCGTCCATTTTTATTTCCTTCGATAAAAATTGAAATCAAAGGAAAAGATTACTTTATCCAGTGATATTTCTCAACAGAAATCTGCGATGCTACTTTACTAACGACAGCTTCGCGAAATGGTCCCAAGAACAGTAAAATTATCCTCAAAGTAATAGTTTATATGCTTATGAGGATGTGTATTGTTATTTAGTTGAAAGAAGTGAAAATTCTCGGTTTTATTAAATCGTCTAAATTAATAACAATATTAAAAATAATATTTATTTTGAGTTTAAAATCCAAATTTGTACAGAAGACTTTAAAAACAATGGAATATGAATAAATAATAAAAAAAGGCTAGTAAAAGAAAAGAAAAATAATTAAAGCAGGAAAAATTGATTAATAAAAATAATCTAGAAATTTAAAATGTTGCCTCATCACTCACTGTAAATGTCCTTTATAGAATTTCTACTCATGAAATAATTTTAAAGGTAGGTCTTGATTCTCTTTTAAAGTATCCGGACAGTCTGTCCTACGAATTAACAGTGGAAGTAAATTTCATTTCCTAGGTGCAGAGACTTTAAAAGAATCGTCACCATATGTGGCAAGTCTAGCTTTACACGGTGTTTACAGTAAATGATGAGACGGAGGTGAGGTGAGGTGGGGAGGGGGGGGGGGGTCGTGAGTTTATATTTCATGCAGCTCATATAAATATGGTAGGGCCAAGTTGTAAAAAGCGGCGTGAGCGTTTTATCTTACTAAAAGTTAAAAAGAAGCCGTGCTTTCAAAGTTAGCCCGTGAAGTTGTTTGAGGATAGGGAAAACGTGACTGTCGCCAGGTGTGCGAGTAGGAACTCGAGCAGAGAAATTTTGAATATGTTGCAGACGTTTTAATTATTCTCGTGGACATCCATAAACAAGAAAATTGCAGTTATCTACCCTCTACCAGGGCGACAGATTGCTTTTTCACTAGATATTCAGATACATGTCTTTAGATAAATAGACGGTCGTTTTGATTTCTACTCGCGATGGAGAAGAGTACACATATTTTCTGTTAGAGGGGAGCAGTTATCTCATCGAGATGTAATATGGGGCATTTAGAATGGTAGCTGTAGAGGAGTCACTTAGATGGTCATGTTTCTGATATGAAACATGTATTACTTAAAATTTGGGGATTTTTTTTGTCCACGGACAAAGAGTCTTATAATTCCCTTTTATCATTGGTTTGTTCATCATCATCCATGCCCTGAGATTTGAAATTCAACTTTCATTTTTTAAGGAAATTTCTTGATGTTACAGGGAGTATACAGCTGAGTATCGTCAGCGTACATGTGAAGGTCAAAACTCGTGACAGGCAACAGCATTGCAAACAGTTTTCATTAAGATTATGGTGTTTAAATAGTACTGGAATAATAATTTCAAAAACTTGGATGTCAAATTTTGCGGATTATCCCAAATAAATGAGACAGATTTTATCACTGTACACAAATCCATCGCTTCCCTTTTAAAGAGACCTTACCCGGGTTTCAC